CCTGCAAACTCCCAAAACAAAATTTTTACTTTTTATTTTATTTTATTTTATTTTTTTATTTATTTTGATTTTTCTGCACCACCCCCGCAAACCCCCTCAAATTTTTTTTAAAAACTTTTTCTTATAATTTCAATTTTCTGTTTTATGTGTTTTTCTGCCCCACTCACCTACCCCAATCCCCAACCCCGCCCGTAAAATATTTTTCAACTTACATATTTTAAGGTGAAATTTTTTTTTATGCAAGATGGGCATGGATCTAAAACATGGGTCAAGTTGGGCGGGTTGGGTTATGACCTATTGTTTAGCCCATCTTGACCCAGCCCATCTTAACCCAAGTACACTTTGGGCTGGATTGACAAATGACTCATTTATTGACCTAACCCATCATATTATGCTGGAGTTTCAGCATAAGTATACTTGAACTCCAGCATATTATATTGGAGTTCCAGGATAGTATGCTGGAACTCCAGCATAATATGATGGAGTTCCAACATAAGTACACTAGAACTCCAGCATAATATACTGGAGTTCCAGCAAGTATATTGGTCCAGTATAATATACTGGACCAGTATATTATACTGGAGCCAACAAAGTACATCGGTCCAGCATAATATGCTGGAGTTCATACACAAGTGCACCGAACTCCAGTATATTACGCTGGAGCGGTCTCTATTACAGCAAAACGGTGGCTCTTTTTCATTGACTTGGTAAATGCTGGCAATTTTTGATTCACCAGTCCGAAAACTAGCTATACCGTACTATTTTTACCACAATTATTCAAAGTGGCCCAATTGCCAAATCAGCCTAAACCTACAGAATCCGCCCCTAGCCCAAGCTCCCAAACGACGCCATTCAACCAGCCGTCCCCCTCTAACTTCTTCTTCTCCAAACAGACAGAGCTTCACCATCTCCTTCAAAAAAAAAACCGTAGAAGCCGTCACCCCTATCCCCAACTCTGTCAAGCACGAACCCCTTCCTCTTTACAACCAAAGAAAACCCTAGCCGCCCTTATTCCCCTTATCCTATCCGAATCGAACCCCCTCCAGTATACCCAAAAATTATTCGCCCCAAAAATCCTCACTCATTCACACACTCGCTGATTTCTCTCTTCATCCACGATTTCTTCACAAAGCAGCCTCCGAAAAAATAATGATTCAAAAATAGCTTTCCAAATTCAACTCTGAAATTTTTAGATCTGGTCCGATTTCTGTTGCATTACTTCTACAACTCCTGGGTGTTCGAGTTTGATTTCGATTTCAGAAATTGAAGCTGCATTTTGTTGATTCGGTTTTCGCTTAGAACCAGCTTTCCCTTCGCCTTTATTTATTTATTCAAGTTTGTCTCTACTGCTGTTTAGAGGTATTTATCTCAATCTCGAAATGTAATCGCTGTTTGGACATCCATGTGCTATAAATTTGCTGAAATTTGTTTGTGTATATATGGTGGAATTGTTCTCTGATGTTTTCTGTTGGTTCACTGTATTTTTTATTTTTTATTTTTTATTTTTGATTTTAGTTTCAGCGCGAAATGAGATATTGTCTATGCTAATATAGAATCATGTTTATTCTCTGATGCATCTGTTTGGTATTGTTGGATACTATGGCTTTGATTTCTCAGTTTCCACTTCTTCCTTTAATATATAATGGTGCTGGGTAAAAGAATGTATGTCAGACGCAAATGAATTAGTGTGTTTTATATGGATATTGATAGTTGAGGTTAGCTGCTTTTGCTGCTATGAGCTTACTTCTTGAGTATTTGTATGACTATGCTTCCACCGACCACTCCCTGTAGCTGGCCCATAAAGAAGTGATCAATTTATTTTTCCACCTACAGGAAATGTCAATGATTTGTTCTTTGTGTAGTTTTGTAATTAGCCATCATCTGTTTCTTGCTTACCTTTTGAAATGCTTGGAGCTTTTAAAGACATTCCTCTGGCACTCCTGAATGAGTCATCCTAAAGAATGCCAATGCATATGTTTTTCTGCTTGCAACTTCTTTACTTTTAATTCATCAGATCTGTACAAGTTGATGGACAATGTCAAATTCTATACTTGCAAAATATCTGCATTGATCTCGTTTTTTCTTTTTCTAATCTGTACTCATCAGAAGTGTGTAAAGCTGCAGAGATATGGCGATGTTAATTGCGGCACGTCGATTGTCAGCTGGATCAGCTTTATCAGATTCACTGCGTTATACCTCTTGCTGGCGGTTTTTCTCTACCTCTTTCAGGGAGGAAAAAGACACATTTGGTCCCATTCTCGTTCCATCTGACAAGTTCGTGCTTTCCTTTTCTCTCTATTTTTTTCCTTTATTCAGTACGCTTCCCCCTTTTCACATGTTTAATATTTTACCCGAGCTCTTTACATGTTCTTGTCGTGTTAATCTGAAATTTTGGAAAGCATAGTCAAATCGAAAAATGAATATAGAAGGAGGATCATAGTAAGTTGACAGTCAATATAAAATAATTATCAAACTGTTGAAATAAATGGGGACAGAGTGTTCGTATACTCAAGCCAAATTAATATAGGATTGAGCCATTGGTGATTGAATATTGAATGATTAATTGTGTGCTAAAGTCCTTTAGGGTTTTATGCTGTTCTAAGGGTTTGTCCTTGTTTCTAGTGAGAAGAAAGTAGGTTGCAAAGAGATTAACCAAAGTTATTTTTTTTTTTTGATAATGGGTGCGTTTTGTCAGCTTGCACCACCTCGACTTAGCTATCTGTGACCTTCCACCAGTGCATACACAAACACTTTTGTCCATCAAGACTTAAACATATTGGAAGAAATCACCTAGCTTTTTTTTTTGCTCTGTTGGGATTTGAACGCCGGTCTGCCATTGTCTATTCTAGCTTCATTGACCACTAGCCCACAAGCCATAACTTTTCGTTTAATAAGAATGTTTATGTTGCTAATGGATTTGATCGCACCTTGGAGTTCTTTTTGCTATATGGACGTGTTTTCTCTTCTGGTCTCTGCTTTATCAATAGAGAACAATCAGCTGTCTTCAACATAGATATGATGCAGAAGTTTTCCTAACTCCCTCCTTGACTAACTGAAACTCTAGTCTAGTGAGTATCAAAATGCTTCAATATAGAACAACCATAGGTTTCTGGACTGATAATACAACAGTTGTGCTAGAGTATATGCTACGTGTAGCTTTTCCTCTGATCAAGAGGTCATATACTATACCTGATCCAAAGTTGTGCTAGAGTATACGCTACATTTTCATCCTGAATTCACTGTTGAAAGGCTGAACTTAATTTTGCTAAGGTAGCTCAATATAACTAAGATAATCCATGGTGATTAGAGTTTGAAGCTCCCTTTTTAATATCTTTATTAAATTCTTCTGTAGAGAACCTTTTGGACGGGTGACCTTTAATCAATTAAATGTAACCTTCATGTCTTGCAATTCCATCAATCCAACTTGCTGTTTTTAGAATCTTGTACTGCCTCATTAATCGTTAATGTTAATAGAAAGTGATAATTTAGTTACCATTCTCTCATTTTGGCATAACAATGTTTCAAGGCATTGTTTCACTGGCTTGTGCATGGAGACAAGTTATTCTTATTGTTTTGGGTGACAAGCGGCATCCAATATCTTTATGATTTCTCTATTAAGCAAATCATGGTCTGCACTAGCTTATTAAATTTGTTGAGTTTGTCCATTTCTTTGACAAATTGTTGTTCAAGATAGCAATCTTTTTCTGTTAAGTAGGCTTGTTTTGCAAAGGATGTCATTAAATCTTGCGATCTTACTTAGTGGATTCCATTGTTTTTTGGGCGGTGATGGTTTTTTTTTTGGGGGATGGGGGGGGGGGGGTAGGAGGGGGGAGGGAGGTACCTAGTGTCCACCACGTGTCTCTTTACACTTACAGGGTTGGTTCTCTTCTCTTCTCTTTCTGTACGTTTGACATTGATGAACTAAAGAACTGATAATAGGTGTGAAATATCAGGTTGCTCTTGAAATTCTCTCTTTAAGTGTTACAATATTCAGAATTGGTAGTCAATCCTGTGCTCGATAAGGACAGACTTTATGGGCTATCTTCCAAGTGTGCAACTACACCATCTTGAGTTTCCTTCTAATTGTACTTTTTAATGTCTTTTTTGTATCTCCTCCAGGTTATGGGGGGCACAAACTCAAAGATCATTGCAGAATTTTGATATTGGGGGTGAGCGTGAAAGAATGCCCGAGCCAATCATACGTGCATTTGGTATTCTCAAAAAGTGTGCTGCCAAGGTTGGTTAATCTGTAATGCTGTTTCCTTCTTAAACAGTTCGTAACTTCTTCTTTATCTATTTCATTTTATCAAATTTTTGGTATAGTAAGTATGTGGTAATGCTTGACAGCAGTTGTTTTGGTCTTATTTTAACTTGTAGTTATGATATTGCAGGTGAACATGGAATATGGCCTTGACCGATCTATTGGAAAAGCAATAATGCAAGCTGCTGAAGAGGTTGCAGAAGGAAAGTTGAATGACCACTTCCCTTTGGTGGTTTGGCAAACTGGTAGTGGCACTCAAAGTAACATGAACGCTAACGAGGTAATCAGAAGTTCATGAACTTGCAGGTCCTATGAGGACTTGTTCTAAGCTTGAGCCTTATTAATTTGCTTCTAGCAGGTCCAGAAATAATCTTGTGAGAAAGCACGGGAGAAAATATTACTCCCTTTGTTCCAATTTATGTGAACCTGTTTGACTGGGCACGGAGTTTAAGAAAAGAAAAAATGAAGACTTTTGAAAATTGTGGTCCTAAACAAGTTAAAAAGGGGCCCAAAGTATTTGTGTGGTTATAAAAGCTTCTCATTAAGGGTAGAAGTGTAAGTTTAAGCTAAATTGTATCCAAATTTAGAAAGGGGTCATTCGTTTTGGAACGGACCAAAAAGGAAATAGGTTCATATAAACTGGAACGGAGGGAGTATTAATTATCTAAAGTGTTGTACAATGCCCTATTTATATACAGTGATTACAAAATAATAGGTATCTACTTCCGATGTGAGACACTATACATGACTAACTACTTAACAAATCTTAATGCTTAAAGTCCATTCAAAGAAACGGTCTTCATGGAAAAAACAAAATTTGATGCTCTAAAAGTTAGTTTAAGCTTTACTCCGTGATTAAGCTTGCCTCCTCCTATAGGACTTCTCATCTCGTTGTTACTAACTTGTTGTTTCTAGAAAAAAATATTATCACTTCAATGTGGACAAATTACAAACTATCTCTTGTACTATGACTCATTTGCAAATACTTCCAGGATGAACGTGTCCCTTAAATCTTATACTTGAGTATAAACAGTCATATGGGAACAAATTCATTACTGTCCTTTATAGCTACCAGAGGCAAGAAAAAAAATAAAACAAATAAGTTGGTACAGGGGAAAGGGTAAGGAATGCCAAATTCTTGTCTCACTTCACTTTACTATTTTTATTCCATCCTTTATGGAGTTCTCTTTATCTAAAGCCCGGTGTCCTAATTTTCAATGTTCTTGGGTTTCATTAGTTCCGGATTTGACGTGAAGCTTGATTAGAGAAGGTAGGAATTGGGCTATATTAAGAGTGGGAAGATTGCACATAAGGAGATGGGTGCAGTGACTGAGGTAGGTTTTGCCCACAATTAAGTATATGTAATTTCATTGGTGACTTCTATGTAATGCTTTTTCTTATCAAAAAGGTAATTTTATCTGTTTGTATTACATTATGGCATTATGCCAATCTTTTCGTAATTAAACAATGACTTTGGTGATACAAAGGGTGATGTTGGATACAAAAATTTGTCCGGTATGCTACCTGATGGAACCTAAGATTTCAAAATGTAGGTCTTAATATTAATACCGTGAATCAAATGTCCGAGCTCATTCCAAAGAATGTGCGATGTATTGGCAAACACCAGATGAATTTGAAAAAGTGTTCCTGGAGGCTGGATCTACTAATAAAAAAACTGTTCCCTAATCTTGATATGCAGAGCATGATCTATTTTAGTTTAGTGGCATGTAGTTAAGTATCCCACATTGGCTGAGGGAAATTTGTTGGTGTTTCCTTATATTGATTTTGGGTATCATCTTCTGAACTAACTTATGGGGGGGGA